GTTTTAAGTGTACTCCTTTAAAGCATGAGCTTAAATCCCATAGAAGTAAATGCATTGATGCATTTACTTAAGTGTTTTGTAGAGTCATTGGCTCCAGGAGATTGCCTTCAAAGACAGTTCATTTGAATATACATTAGAAGTTGGATAAATGCCAGTCAGTTTATGTTTGTAAAATCTACTGGTAAAGGATGAAATATTCACTGAGGTGTTAGTAAGTCAGTAACAGTATATGCAGCCAGTAAAAATACAAAGGTGGGACCCTATGTTTCAGAGTTTTGAGTTATGCAGATGTTGGGTTTTTTTCTTCTTCGTGAGGAGGAAAGGAGACGAAGAAAGAACCCAAAGGAATTTTTATGGAATTTCAGAAAGAGAATGATGGATATAATCCTACTATGTTAGCGCTGTCACAGCTTTGTTACACAGGATAGCAAACTAGTCTGTGTAAAGACTAAGCGGGGTTTTCAACCCAAAAAAGTGTCTTTTATACATCATTCACTTTCCATGGCAGAAGTCTTAGTTGTTCCAGAGAGCAGAAGCTTTTGTGATTTAAAAAGTGAATGTAAAACCTTGGCTTTTCTACTAAAGTTTTATAAAGATCTCTTATGAATGTAAAAAAATCAATACATACAAAACGTTATGTGCGGTCTTTCAGACAGTTGATTGAGTGCAGAACACTTACAGATTCTTTCAAGCATACAATGAGCTGTCTAGTTCCTCATGTCTCTCTTCTGAAACTTGGGATTTTACATGTGTTTTTAGTAGTTAATGTCCCATCTGGATAAATATTACTTCTGTTATTATTTCAGACTACAAATGAAGTTGTTCTTGCTGTAGAATTCCATCCAACTGATGCAAATACCATAATAACATGTGGCAAATCTCATATATTTTTCTGGACCTGGAGTGGCAATTCATTATCAAGGAAGCAAGGGATATTTGGGGTAAGAATGTTGTGATACCAGGTCAGTTTTAAATCAGTGGTGTGATCTGCTCACACTTTCTATAAATTTTCTCTGTTGTTACCGTGTCCTGTTTGAGCAGAGACGTAAACAAACAAAAAGGGTTAAATTCTGCTTATGTGTATGCAGAGTGTGTGGGTGTGAATACATTATACTAATTATGGGTGTGAATACATTATACTAATTACATCAAGAGTACAAGCAGTTATCCCTTTCTTTTGCTTATTTTGTTTCAGAAATATGAAAAACCCAAATTTGTTCAGTGTTTGGCTTTTTTGGGAAATGGCGATGTGCTCACTGGAGACTCAGGTGGCATAATACTTATATGGGGCAAAACTACTGTAGAATCTACTCCAGGAAAAGGACCTAAAGGTAGGATACATTCACAGTTAATCACAGGTTTTCGATAATCTGTAGAGGACAGACATAAAGGATTGCATTAGAAGGGGAATAGGGAAACAGACCTGACTAAGGGTGTACGCTTCCTGTTATCAACAGGTGGTACTAAACTCTTTCGAGTCTCATGAATTTGCTGACTTAATAGCAATCTAGAGTTTCTCAATAATTAATGAGACTATGCCCAAAGTGAATGAAAACTACTTTATCTAAGTGTTTTGCATTTTAAAAATGTACAGTTAATCAGCTTTCGTTTCATCCTGTGTTTTGAAAAAGGCTGTAGGATCAGTTTGAGAATTCTGCAGGCTACTTTTGCCTCCTAAGGTTTATGTTGTACCATTCTTAGTCTCAGAGGAATACCATTAAGTGTTGAAGCTGATGTTGATAGGACTTGTATGTGAAGGAAAAGTATAACACATAGTTGTACCAGTTAGCAAATAACAGTATCTGGTTTAGCAAATACTCAAGTCTTGACTGTAAAATATACTTTGAAACCCATCTTATTTGAAGTTTGGGTTAAAGTTACTCTTTAGGGCAAAGCTTTTGTAAAACAGGAAGGAAAATGATTTGTTATCCAACATATGAAGACCTGGCACAGCTGAGCCCTAAGGTGACTTACAAGTTCAAGGATAATTTATTTTACTTGGCAGCTATTTCAAACACTCTGGTTTAAATTGATATGCCAGGAAGACTTTCATGTAAAAAGTAAATTTTTAACAGTAAGTCTGGTTTTGTAGGTAAATCTTTTTCTTGTCTTTCAAGCTAACCGCAATGGAAAAGTATTTTAACAAATTATCTGATATTTAATTTTGAAGTTCTTCTGCAAAAATTACCTTTTCCCGGTACAATCTTAACAGATACCAAACAGAACATTAAATTACATTGATTTAATTAAATATGAGGTCCTTTAATTGGTTTATCACATTAGATTGTTGACAGGACTTGATTTCAAACTCTTTTTCACAGTGTGAGAACATGCTGACTTGAACTGGCTTAAGCCATAGGCAGAGTCAGCAAAGTTAAGCTGGTACTTACTTGGGTGGTGTTTTAGGCTTTTACTGTGATTGCTATTTGAAAATATGTGAGTCTCAAAGCACCAGAATCCTGATTTTTTTTTTTTTAAATATATAATTTCCTACAGCAGTTCTTTTGACATGAAGACCTGATTAAGATGTGAAAGGCTTCCTTTGCCACCTTTGTTGTTCAGTTGTCTCATCTCTGTTTCGTTCTTCCTGGTGTTTTCCTTGGGTAGACTGCTATATCGATAGATGCCAAGTGCTGGTTATACTATTTTTAAGTGAGACAACATCCAGCATTAGATACTATGTTCATGCATCCTGGAAACTTTGCTATAAATAATTTGCTTTTTATTCCCATAAGGCTATAGACAACAAGTCTTTGAGTTTCTTTTAATAAAATAACTTTAATTCTTTTCTAATAATGACTTGCTAAATATTTATTGACTCTAAAGGACAGTTTCTCTTGCATCTGGAAAAACTGCGTTCCCTTGGATAGCACAGAAATGAAGGCATTTTGCAAATAGTTGTTGTTCTTGCCTTCACAAGTTGTAGGACAATCAATCTCAAAACAGTTGGTATTCAGAAAGGCAGACCCTTTGTTTTATCTTTTTATCCTGTAAGAAAACACTACCACCTTGTGTTTGCAATACTGATGCAATACTAATAGCCTGACAGTCCAAATGTAGTTAATTATTATATGCTGTTACTTTATTCTTCTGCCAAAAGGCACAGCTTCTTGTAAACCCCAGATGAAAAAACAAGTAGTGTTCCTTATTATTTTCTTTTTGTGCATGTAGGGGTATATCAGATAAGCAGACAAATCAAAGCTCACGATGGCAGTGTGTTCACACTCTGCCAAATGAGGAACGGCATGCTGCTAACTGGAGGTGGGAAAGACCGAAAGATCATCCTGTGGGATCATGATTTGAATCCCGAAAGGGAAATTGAGGTAAGAAAGCAGGAGTGACAAGGAAATTTGCCTTGGGCAATGTATTGACTAGCAAGATGGAGCCCTCCGCACCGTTTGGAGAATCAGTAGTTAGAATGACAGAATATCTTCTGGTTGCTGTCTTTTTAAGTGGGTGATGGTGTTTTCCTATAAAAGTGTTTAAATTTTCAGCTTATAAATGAACCTATGTTAAGCTTCAGTTCTCTTCTGTTTAAATGAACAGAAATTGTAAGGGTTTTTTTTTCCTCCAAGCCCGCCCTTAGTTTCTTGTATTTGTCTTTTTTTTTTTTTTACAGTGTTACCAGTATTTGAGGGGGTTTTATATAATTTTTTACATAAGACAAACAATAGGTAGGATACATATGGGTACTCTGTAAGAATGTAAGAGCTATGTTGGGGAACTTGTTTTGACTTTAACCTAAGACAGGTGTTTAGTGAGTATGTATGTCTTTGTGATTTGGCCATATCGCAATGCCAGGTAAATGGGAATGAACTGCAAAAAAGTTGTACACTCTAGATTTTAAAACACTTTTTTTTTTTTTCCTGACAATAAGATGACCTCTTGAAATAACATATTCTTCTTAAACAGTTCTTCTAATAATGGTTTACTCCACTTACCTAATATGCATTTATAGCAGCATTTTTTCCTTAACATATATATTTAGTTCCACTACAGTTTGTTATTACCTTGAATCTGATATTGACCTTTAGAAAGCATGGCTGAGAGTAAGTAAGCATTGACTATCATATACAACTCTTAGACCTGAGTAACACACTCTGTTCCTATCAGAGACTCTATTTTCCTTTTGTAGATGATGTTATGTTAAAGGTAATTTTTTTTTATATTAAGAAATATTGCCAGAACCCTGACACAACTTTCTCAATGGCTGTATGGATTTTCTATCTTGTGTAGCTAATATTAATGTATTTTCTAAAGATAAATCATTTGGAAAACCAAGTAATCTCACACTGTAAAATAAAGCCGTGTGTTAAAATTCAAGCATCCAATAAACAATAAAATTTGGAGTCATTGCTGACTCCAAACATGAGTAAACATGAATGTTTGCGTAAGGTTAATCAGGAAGCATTAAGAATATCGGGAATGATCTGTGTGCTACAAGATTTTTTTTATTTTTTTTCCTCTGTGTTTTGCAAAGTAAACAGTAACTATATATTATTATTCCTATCCTTATATGTTGAGATGCAAGGATGTAGAGTGCATTTTTTAGTAGTGTATTTGACATTTTAAAATCCATGGAATTTAATTGGTAACCTTTTTCCTACTGAAACTTGTTAAAGTGGCATAATTGTAGTTGTTTTGGAGTCAGTACATGCCTGTACTGAACAAATAAATGATGTAGGCTTCAGGTGAAGTCCTGATCTAATGTATATATTTTTAGATTATTTTTACTGAGAGAAGTGCAGTTCTGGTACTGTCATTGTGCACTATTTGTGGATACCATATTAAGATGCATGATGTGGCTTTACAGATGTTTCTTTTCTTAGGTTCCTGACCAGTATGGAACAATTAGAGCAGTAGCAGAAGGAAAAGCAGATCAATTTTTAGTGGGTACTTCACGAAACTTTGTTTTGCGGGGAACATTTAATGATGGTTTCCTAGTAGAGGTACAGGTGAGCACAACTTTTGGTTTTTGTTTTTTTTTTTTAACCCCCAAAATGTAAAGGGTTTCTCTGCTGGTGTGTTAGTTTAAGAGAGTCTTTATTTTATTCATTGTTAAATCATGTGTGTTTTCTTTCCAGGGACATACAGATGAACTCTGGGGACTGGCATCCCATCCTTTCAAAGATTTATTTTTAACATGTGCCCAAGATAGGCAAGTCTGTATGTGGAACTCTGTGGACCACACACTAGAATGGACCAGGCTGCTAGATGTATGTCAACTGTTTAATGTTAAATATAAAGTTGGAAAATGGGAAAAAGCATTAATTTTCTGAAACCCTTGTCACATGTGATTGCAAGAGACACACAAATCCTGTTGTTACGGCAATAAGAACATCTATTTGGAAGCTTTGATAAACCTCACCAGGCTCATCAGACATTGTTTAGACTGTAATCTGGTTATTGTTGTCTGATGCCATTCTAACAATCCAAGTCAAATAAAACTCCAAGTCCTTTGTTCTCATTAGAGTTGAACTTTTTTTCCAATTATTCAAACAATTCAAAAGAGAGTATCAATACAAACGTGGAAGGTTTAGCTTTAGAAGTCCTTCCTTCCTGTCATTATTCATTTCATATTTTGGCTAATTCTGTCCTAATATCAAATGAAAAGTACCCTTTTACAGAGAAATTTAGACTTTTTACTTGCAAGAAGGTAATGTAATCCCTGTCACTGTCGATACATTGTAAGAAAATCTGCCTGAGGATTGTAAGCGTGCTGCTAACTAACGGGTTTTTCACTGTGTCAGTTCAACTTTGGCTTTTAGAGTAGCTCTGGTAGAAGGAGAGGTGCTTGACCGTAAGGAAGTGGGCAGGTGAATGACGTGTCTGTGCCTCTCCCTTCAGGAACCGGGACACTGCGCTGACTTCCATCCCAGCGGAGCAGTGGTCGCAATAGGAACACACTCGGGCAGGTAAACGCCTTTTGACTGAACAGTGAAAGTTTAAAGCAGATGATTTGATACCAGAGGTCTCATATATTGGAGTTCATATATCGTTTGGTTTTTATTCTTTTTGCTTGAGGTTAAGTAGCCTAAAAAGGTTGAGGGAAGGGGACAGATCGATCTTAGGTGGGTTAGATGAAGTCGGAAGGATCATTTGACTGTTGTTAGGCTGTTTTGGTGTTTTAACTACTCTTTCATTGAAAGCCCAGATACTGATTTTAATTTTTTTTAAAAACTATTTTTGGGAGGGTTTCCATGAGCACTCCTTATTTGCTTTACTAGGAATCATGTATTTCAGTATTGTATGCATGTGTGACATTAGTTTATAAGACAGATACAGTACAGATCTTTCTCCTTTCAAATCAAACACACTTGCAACCTTCTAAATTGACATGGCAAGTGAACAGCCTAGTGTTTTGTATGAATGGAGTTCAACATGGTGCACTGCTGCCATGAAGTGTCATTGAGCTGTTCATGTTCATTCTTACAATTGATAGCTTATTTGGAAGCTATCAAAACACAAGCTAAATCCTTTAACTCAGGCTTCATTCAGTGGTGGAAAAAACTTATCTTAATTCATGTCCAAACTCTTGACTTGCTGTTATCTCCCAAGAAAGGAGTCCCATGCAACAGATTTCTAGCAAGTAGCAAAAGAAAAGGTGGGGTATTAATAGCATTAGAAAGGTGAGAGTAACAGATAGTAAATCTACTGGCATTTTTATTCTGTTTTTCGGTCATACCTCATGCTTGACACCTTGATGATAGAATAATGCTTAGTACATGTAAGAAAATTGGAGGAGGGGTGTAATTTGCCTCCCAGAATTTTTTTTGATGCCTAAAACCCATTTAAAGTTTGGTTTTAAAAACTGATGAACATGAACAACACCCTTTAACTAGCCTGGAAAAACTAAATCTTAAATACTTTTTAAGGCGTTTTCTTCTCCAAGATGAAGATGCAGTCCTCACTAAATTCAGTAGATATAACATCAGGCTAGAACACCTAGTTTACCTTCCTAAGAAAAATCTTGCTAAGCTCTTGTATATTTGGCTTCCACATTTTACCTTTCCAATTTTTGATTTCTTTCTAGTTATAGCATTAAATTGAACAAGTGTTTCTACCTTCATTAAACAGAGTCAGAGATACTGGCCTAATAGCACTTGAAACAAGGAAAAAGAGCAAGAAGGTCAGGCTACATTTCTTGAGTTACTAGACGTTTTTGAAATTACATCAAAGCACAATGAAAGCATCTTGAGCGGCCAAAGCGTTGTCTGGTGTTTGCTTTTGTATTTTATTTTTTTCCCCTCCCAGAGCGTTTTAACATTACTTTGTCAGTTGAGAACTTTGCAGTTTAAATTCGTGCTTTTTAATTACTTGAGGCAACTGGTTCATACTGTGTTGGATAAATTTATGATGATGGCCTTGGCTTTGTTTGGTTTTGATTTTTTTACCCAAGTGAAACTGAATTGAAATGAGGCCTGGTAAGTGTACAAATGTATGATGTGAATCAAGATAAACAGAACAGTTTTCAAATTTACTGCCTAACCAGCGGCATCACACAGTGCTTTCTGAGCTGGATAATCGAGTCCAAGGGAGTGAGTTCCCAAGGAATGAGGGCTTCAGGATGTATCTCGATTAATGTGTGAGAGAAAATAGTCTCAGGCCCTTAACAAGTTACTAAATAACTTAATTGATTCATAGCCCAAAATGCATAAAGCCAATATTAAATTAATCTGATTTGTTTACAGTTCGATAAACCTCGGATGTGTCTGTCTATTGTCATTCTAGTGCTGCTCAGCTTCCAGTATGGAGCTCAGTAAGACATGGGTAGGGAATGGAGCGTTAAGGAAGTTGAGTTTGGTAGTTAAATTTGTGACATCTGAAGAAAACTGCATTTTCTATCCCTCTTCCCATTCTTGTCTGTTGTTTAACAGCGCTGTGTTTTTATCAAACCAACATGTCATGGTTTTGGTGTGCTTTTCACGTACCACTTCCCATGAGGATTATCATTTCCCTTTTTGGGCTGTCTGCAAATGATCTGCTGCAGATTTTGTTAACCACTTATTTAAATACCTTCTGTGTACCTGATGATCAATTGTCTGGGATTAAGCCTGGTTTGGAGAGAACTAATACTTTTTGTGGATCCTGCTGTTGGCTGGAAACGCACAGCCAAAAAACTAAAAAGGGCTGGCAATCAGAAATCCTACCAGAAAAGTGAGTTTTTCAAGGTACTATGCAGATCCTTTTGCCATGCTGCCAGTGGTATTATTTGCAGGGAATAGACCTTTCTATGACTAATCATGTAGAATATCTTGAGTGCTGCGCACTGCGGGGAAAAAAAAAACCAGCTGATAAGATTCTTACAAAAATACTAATGTTGTTGAGAAAACTGAAGGCTGGAGGGCAAGACCAGCCTAAGCCAGAGCCACAAGGAGGTAAATCAGTCAGTAGAGCTATTGAGATTTATACCAGTTCAGCATCTGTTGTCATATTAAGATGAAGAAGTCTAAATATCCCAGGGAACCAATCTTGTAAGATGGGTTGGTTTGTTCACTCCGATTAGTGACTTATAGGTTCAATGTTTGGTATTAACTAAACGTGGGAATTGCAAGATGTGGGAATTGCAAGTGTAAGTGCAAAAATATATTTCTACTTTGGAATACTGTTTTCCTGGTGATTTCATCAGAAAAATTCTGCATTCAGAGATGTGAATTATCAGTAATAAATGACTGTCGTGGATCAGAATTTGCTTTCCAAAAGAGAGTAGTTTAAGGGGGTTTGTTTCTAAAAATGTATATTTTTAGATGGGTTATTAGTATTTTTTTTAAAGCAAAGGGATGGGAAGAAAATAAATGGATGAAAACGGCAGAAGTTCTGTCCTATCTACATGAACTCACAAACAAGTTAAGCATGGATTTAAAATGAAATGGGATCGATTTCAATTAGATATAAGGAAGAAATTCTTCTCTCTGAGGGCAGTGAGGCACTGGACCAGGTTGCCCAGAGAAGTAGTGGATGCCCCATCCCTGGAAGCATTCAAGGCCAGGTGGATTGAGACACTGTGCAACCTGGTGTAGTGGAAGGTGTCCCTGGCTGCGGCAGGGGGTTTGGAACTAGGTGATCTTTAAGGTCCCTTCCAATCCAAACATTCTACGATTCTTTGATTCTGTTATCTTCTGTAGCAATTGGGAGAAAATCAATAAAAAACAGAAAAAGCAAAAGAGCTACTATCTTACAGCTGGGATACCATTCATCTGTTTGTTTCATCCAGTCTACGGATCAGAAGTTGACACTTGGCAGCCAAACTTTGCATTTCACAGCCTTGTAGGACTTTTTCAGGGTCAGCTGCCGTTCACATGCTGCATACCTTCGTGTTAGAGGGAAGATCCCCTCCCGAAGCAGAGTCTCAAGGAGGACCCCAGCTGTTTGTGAGAAGGACCTGTGTGGGGCATGCCAGTGAGCTGCTGTAGCCACTAGATTGGAGAGACGTTTCATGGAGACAGGCTTTCTTGGTGGCAGTTGCAATGTTTGCTCCAGCATTGGGAGATTTTGGAAGATAGAAGAGTATGTCTGATTACAGCTTGTGGAAGCATCAAGGAACAGCTCAACTAGCTATGACCAACACTTTCTTTCTTAAATTAATATCAAAATTGTCACAGCGCACTGTTTCCTCAGTCAACTAAGACTGCTGTTTACATCTCTTATTCAGGTAACTTTTTGAAGAAGGACTGGTGTCACAAAATGCTGTCTCATAATGCCAAATGAAGTTCCATGTGCGCTCTTCAGAGCAGCAGTTTTGCATTCTGCTTGATATCACACAATACCACCTCTGTGCTTTCAGTAAAATAGGAGATTTTTGCATGTTTTTCCAGTTGTGTTTTAGCTTTTGGCTATTTTTCATTTTATGTAATATTAACTGGAGGATTGCCTGATTCAGGTAACAGCCTCAAAGGGCCAGGATCAAGAGGCATGTCCCTGCTGCAGCAGCCTCTGTGCTCTGCCCTGGTTGTGTATTTTGGGACATGTGCTCATCTCTCCCCTTGGCTGTCTGGCAGAAGTCCGCTGCAGCACGGTCATCTGTGGGAGGACATGGGAAGGCCGTATCCATCCACTCTGTGGAAGAAGGCTGCTTTTGGTTGTTACTGTGCCCATAATCTGTTTTTATATCCAGGCATCACAATTATGCTGCTCAGAATAAACAAACAGGTATCATGCTGTGTCGTCTTGCTAGAGAAACAGATTTAAGTTTTCTGGTAAAACAAAAGGTCTTCCTATCTCCTATTTTGCCGTCCATGCCCAAGATTTGTGTTGCCCGTCTGGGCTGAAGCAGTGAGGAGCCTCCACCTTGTGCTGGATTCAGGAAAACACAATTAATAATGAGGCAGTGGGGGCATTGACTTTCAGACCAGCTTCTCATATCTCTTGAAAACCAGATGACTTCAACGCCATGTGTGTTCTTCACACTTCTGTTGTTGTCCCATCAGGATGTACTTTTAGAACAGCTTTACTGTCATGATGGAGTGACTGTTTTTCTTTCTATAGTGACAAAATGGCATAGGTACCCTCTCTTTTACCCCCTTGTCAAACCCTTTTGTGGTTTTGGTTGGGTTTTTTTTATTATTATTTATTTTGGTTATCCTTTAATATCTACACCCCTCTCAGGATTATCAGCCAGGTAATGTTTTAGTGAAGCATTTGGCAGGTCCAAAGAGGGGTATAGTCTGAACTGAATAGCAGAATAGCAACTTGTAGCTCCTGATGCGTTCAGAGAACCTGTAAAGCTTCAGTGTGTAGATTGGAAGAAATCAAAAATCTGCTTTCAGCAGAGGATTACAGCAGAGAAGCACTGAGTGTGGTTTCTGCTGCTGTCCAATGCAAACATATTAGTTGTTTTCCACTGGTTCCATCTGTCTTGCACGCAGATCATACAGCAGTCCATGGCATGTGGAGTTCGGGTTTTTGTTACGCATATGTTGTTTAATTTCTTTGTTGGGGTTCCCTAACCACATGCTGGTTTTAAGCCATTGGGACCAGGCTACTTTCCAGGTACCTAGCTGCTGGACACTAGATCAACATGAGCTGGAATCTCATCTCCATCTGTAGAAAGCAGTGATGTGCGCTGTTGTTCCTGGAATTTACTTTAGGTTATATAAGTTTGTTATGGCATAAATGGTCTCAGCTTTGGCAATGTTCTGCTGAGTTCACTATGAGACAGCGTGTGGAATTGCCTTACTCGTTCTCACAGCGTGTGAACTTGCCATTTGCCACTGGAGATGGAAACCCAGCTGTGGCGTACGCACACAGTTGTGAGATCAGAAGTTCAGAGCAAAGAAATAAAATTCTGAGTACAGCTTTAATGTATTTAGCCATTTGACATCTTGCGTTTTCATAATATACATGTTTATGTATATCTTTTTATTAAATTTTCATTGTCTTTTGGTAATGTTTGATGTGTTTAGGAGTTAGATTGGGCATCAGAATGGTTGCAAAATGCTCAGGTTGTACTGATCTAGCCTGTCTTGCTGTCAGTGGCCATTTCGGTGTATGGGCCACTTGATTTTTTGTGAGCTTCTCTGAACTTTTAACGTGTGTCTCATAACTAATACTACAGGTTAAAAGTTATTGTTAAATAATGAAAAATGCAATTAATTCCCTTAGTTATAAAGCATCGAAGCAGGAAATAATAAAAAAAAGCTAGGTTATGAACCATCAAATTTCAGTAAATGGTTATTCCTTCTCTGATAAAATTATTCATAGAAATGGAAAGGACTGAGGGGGAAATACCAAATTAGAATATGCTTTGTGTTTAAAATGAGTATGGAAATGTTTTCCACTCGCTCCTACTGCTTCTATTTTTATTTTTTTTTTACCTTAGCTTCATACAAATTGAAAGATGAGGTTTTGTTTCAGAGCTGTTCTTCAAAATGGGAATAAGTAGTAGATTAAAATTCAGCTGTAGCCTTAAGGCTTCAGGATGATACGGGGAAGACATATCAGCTATCTGGTGGCATGTTTATCACCCAGCAGACGTTTTGGTGATTACCATAGTGTTCAAGGGAGGGGGAAAAATTGGGCTGTATTTAGAATGTTTTATATATCCTTTGCTGAAACTTGTATCACTTTGTGAACCAGATAAGTGTTCCATTAAAAACAGATGTTCACCGTGCTGCCCTTGAGGGACTAGCATGAGAAGATGAAGGCAGGCAGTGATTATTGCTCTTTTACTTGCTTTTTTTGTTTAGTGGAAGTGATACTCATTGGAATTCTCCTCTCTCTAGGTGGTTTGTTTTGGATGCGGAAACGAGGGATCTGGTTTCAATACACACTGATGGCAATGAACAGCTCTCGGTGATGCGCTACTCAGTAGGTAGGCAGATTTGTACATTCAGAATAATTGCTCATACATGAGATGTCTGTTCTGTTGATCAGTGTTGAATTACTCCCCAGTCACTGGGAAAGGCAGAGCTTTGTAAAAGAGTTGGTTTAAGATGCTTAATATGTAACTGAATACTTGCTTACAGATTTGTTTGTGTGTGCCAAATCTTGGAGTTTTGTAACTGCAGATGATAGTCGCCTTTCCCAGCCTTTCCTTCACCTTGAAGTGTGCTTTTACAATATACGTTAGCTTTGCTTCCAGAAAAATGAACAGTTCTCAACTAAATAGTTGACAGGTTAACAGAGAAGTCTGTGAAAAGCTTAGTATTTCAGTGATATTTTGGTATACTACTTAGCTAATTTTCAGGTCTATTAATACAAAACCATAAAACTAAGCTCAGATCTGTCTGAAACTCAGACCTTTTTGTGAAGTATTTGCTATGGGATTATGTGGAGTCCAAGCCAGTATTGAGTCTCCTCTTCAGACATGACATGACAAATCATCAGAGGCTCTCTGTTAAAACTGAATGGAAGAACACTCTCATAAATCTGTTTCTTGTTTGCTTTCGGATAACGTGCCATGTCAGTGGGCAAAATGTTCCTCTTCTGCGGCCACATCTGCCAAGTGCAGCAATTCATTTTAAAGCACTGATGTTCATTGACACTAGAGACGTTTGATCATGATTGAAGGCAACTCTTGTCCACCTTCCTTTTTTTTTTTTTTAAATGGAGACAACACAGGTTAGAAAACTGCTTGTCGTGTTTGAATGCTCCACTTCTTTAGACATTATTTAGTGTCAATTTATATGCAATCCCCCTCTCCAAAGCTAAGCTAACTATAGAGTAAATACTCTTCTACAGAAAACTCAAGCCTGCCTGCTGTCAACAATTCCCAGAAATCCAGTGCAATCTGAGGATTTATACACCATTTATTGGACGCTTACTTAAAAAAAGCAAAAGTGAAGGAACTTGCCCAAAAAACATACTCACAGAGTAAACAGTTACTGAATGAAAAACAACATAATGTAAACAGTTATGTATTCTTCAATACAATTCGTAAGCAGTAGTGTAATTGAGACTGTTGTTGTAGTGATAAATCTGAAATCATTAAAATTTGGAAAGCAAACATTCTGTTAATTTATATAAAATATTTTGTGTTGTAGATGGCACCTTACTTGCAGTTGGATCCCATGACAATTTTATTTACCTCTACGTAGTAACAGAAAATGGAAGAAAGTATAGCAGATACGGAAAATGCACTGTAAGTTTTGGAGCAAATATAATCAGCAGCTCTTGCATTTTGATGTTATACATATACTAAAACGTTAAGCCGTGGAACTCTCTCTGGGTTGATGCTTTTCTGGTTTTAGTTTTAGTTACAGCTTTTATGATTTTTTTTTCAGCATTTGATTGATTTTAAACTTCACTCTGATGAGTATTGCAACCATAGGTGAACACTTTTGCATCAAATATGACTAATTTCTCAGACTATTGACTTTTTCATTGAAATGAGAAATTAACAGTGAGATGGAGAAATGCCTTGTACCTGTATGCTGAAACTCTTCTGGGGAAAACGTTGCACGTCTTTGGGGGTGTTTTCCCCATATTGGTAAAGTACTCCTTGGACCACCATAACAACAGATGGTGGAATTTTGTTAGAATATGTAATTTTGGAGGTTGCGAATATGCACTATTTTCAGCTGTAATTGTAACTACAAAATTTGGAATTGGGGAATATGTTAACAATAAATTTCTGGCCCAGGGTAAATAAAGGTAAGTCTAGCACAAGTAGTGGAGTTTGTATTAGTCCTTCCACTTACATGAGGTTGTCTCAGCACTAAGAAGACGTACTAGTTTTTCCTTAAGTGTTTAGTTAATCTAACATCCTTGCCTTAAGTTCAGCCATCTCTTTAGGTTACTGAGAATATTTACATAAAGAACATCTGAACCTTAATGAGATTTGCAAACGATATCATAAGAATAGATTCACATTTGAAATGTGAAATGTTTTTTGTTTTTTTTTTTTTTAAGGAATGCATCCCCTGCTCAAAACACTTTCATATGTTTGTCACCAATTGCTTTTCTTTAGTTTTTAAAATAAGATAATTTCTCAAGCTACTTCATTAATTTGCAAATGGGAGATAAGGGGACGGTAAGGCTAAATTGTGCGGGGTATATTTATTTATTTTTATTTCTAAGATATAATTTTTATTAATACTTTTTTCCTACAACCTTTGATGCAAGACTTGCAGTGGCAACTGTTAGTTAGGGGGAAATGAACAGGCATTAGCCAGTTTTTTAGTGCCACGTATGGTGTCTCGGAGAGATTTCTACCCGTGTTTGGCTAAGGACACCCTGTGCTGTTAGGGCATGGAGGTCCAGAGCAGCCTGAGCCCTGCTGCTGCTGGGGGCACAGGGCTGCCAGGGCAGACAGCAGTGGTGAGTTTGCTCCGTCCCTGTGGTGTGTGGGTTGGCAGTGAGGGCTCGGCGTTGGCATGGGATGCGGCTGAGAGGAAAGGCTGTTGGATATGCTGGAGACTCCTCAATGGCAGGGTTGTGGTTCAGGATGAGCCAGGGCATCCTGCAGCCCCCAAGCAGGGTGATGACAGGGTTAGCTGATAGCACAACAGTCGTGAGACGAGAAATCAGATCTGCAGCCTTCCCAGGGAGCTCAGGGTGTGGGGAAAGGGCTGAGCCTACAGAGAGGTCAGACTGGGGACCCAGGGAGGCTGGTGGAAGGACAGCAGCGGACAGCTGCACTTCAGTGCAGCATTTCACCCCATCACTTATTTTTTAACCATAAAAATAAAATCACTGAAAGATGGCTAATCTTAACATATGTAATATTCAGCTTGCTATGTACTTCAAGGTCTCCGTGAGCTCTTTGAAGATGTGTGAGATCATTTATATCTGTATATTGTATGTGTTATGTTCAGGAGAGAGCATACAGTAATTTAAACCAGCATCAACTGATGCTTGGGCCTTCTTGCCCCTACATTGTAGGACAGTGTGTTGGAGATGCAAGTAGTTTGCAGATAATGCCACTCTATTCAATAGCGTTACTAGCAAGTGATCTCATAATTCTAAAGCTGCTAATAGCTGGGAATATTAATCAATAATGCGTGTCCGGTGTACTGAGTATGGTGAAACTGCATTGAAACAGAAAGTACCACCACACTGAAAAGGGTTTCTCCCCTTCCTTACCTTTTTCATCCTGTGTGCAGCTTCTTGTCAGGCATCTGTATGCCTATCTGTACCTCTGCCTTGGCAGGAAAGGGGTTTGTAAAAATTGCTATGGGAGAAATCAACGTTGTTAGGCGGAAGGGTTAAGGCTTCAAAGCAGATTTCTGTTAACCGTTGTTTTCAGTCTGAGTGAATGCACATAGAAGCCAAAATTAGCAACCTGGTTTCTGTTGGGGCTCAGCTCCCTAGACCCTTCCAGCTGGTGCAGAAGGCAGCAGCATGCTAGCTGACTGAATCCGACGTGCTGCGGGGCTGCCGGTCGGGTTTCACACACCCCGTGTCTCCCTTCTGCTGCCCCGGGTGTGCTGGAGGGTCGGTACCAGCTCGGTGCTGAGCAGGGGTCACCCCAGTGTGCTCGGCACCCCAAGTGCTCACCCGGCTGCTTCTTGGGCACTGGCACTGTGTCCTTTTGGTGTTCTTCGGGTGACTTCCAAGTAGCATGACTCGATCCTCCTGGTAGTCAGCTTTCTGGTTGTTTCCTCCAACTTGAATACATTACTTGAATACTTTCAGAAGGATTTTGTCTACGGAACTGGTTTTATCAACTTGTGCATAAGGGCTGTGTGCCCACTGTTATGTTTAAATCCCCTTTCAGTTGTGACCAGGTTTCCTGCTGCCACCAGAGAGGCGAGTGTCTGACCTGTCAGCATGTTGTCACAGTGAGGGATGGTGTTGGTTGCGATCAGAAAGAATTTCAGATGAGCCGAAACAACCGTTTCGACTTGTGCAGCTGTTTTTTGAGGGCTTCAGCTATGCAGACAGCTATGTGAAGGTACCGGCTGGGGTATGAACTTCCAGCGTGTCAGCAGCTCCGGGGTGGCTGGTGCTGTTTCTGTTTGCCTTTCGTCAGAGATATCTATTAGCAAAGGAGAAGCGAGTGCCGTGCGTTTACGGAGAGAGCTGTGGGGTGAAACTCACATGGGCAGCCACGCTGAAGTATTTGGTACACTAGACTTGAAATAATTGGTGTGCTCGTCCCATACACCATGGGCATTGCGATATTAAGTCTGAAACAGACAAACATTACCAACGAAGGAGAGGCTTTCCATTTAGTCAGGTAGTTTTATTAGCCAGTGATAAAGTGAGTAATTATATTCATTGTAAATAGAGGTACAGAAAAGGAAAGAGTAAAATGTTGCCTTATCAGTGGGCAGCTACCAAAGAAAGATTTTACTAGAAAATGGGATTGTGCTATTGAAAATATGACAACGTTATGTTCCAGTTCATAGTTCGATGATTGTTTGCCTGAAGGGATTTTGCAGCATGGAGCCCCCTGGGCCAATTGCTTTGTTCACTCCCCCACCACCCCCAGGAATTTTAACAGCTGCCAAATGTCTGGCAGGATATTTTAAATGACTGACCAATTCTTTTCCATGTTGGAGTTCACTTGCAAATTTGAAGACTTGGAAAATAAGGGGCGGGGGGGGAAGGAGGAGAAGTAATCCTAGCCAATTGTGCGTTTTTAATTTTTTTTTTCAAAATACCAAGTTTGCATGTTGATATCATAAATCCCACCCATGACTGCAAAGCAGTTATGTCAATACACAGTTCCTCTGTTTGAGGCAGAGACTTAGTTCATAAGTAAATAAACCCTAAAGGCCAAGTTTTCTCCTAAATGTTTTTGCAGTCTCTCACAGAGGACCTGGGGATGAGAAGACAGACACGAGTGTATTTCTACATGTGATTCTGGAAGTAATCAGCATTTTAGAGCTCTCTCTAGAGGAGTTTGGTGTGGTGGGTGGTGCGGCCGCCAGCGCAGTGCTCCAGCCTGGTCCCAGCACAGCAGGTGTAGGCTGGGCCAAGAGACCTTGCGGGTGGCCGAGGGATGCCATCTTCATAATGCCCACCGAGAGAGCGAAATGAGTTGGCATCTGTCAGGCAATAAAGTGGTGTTTTGTTGCCTGGCAGAATGACTAGGAAGGGGAGAAAATGAATGGTCTTGTAAGGGGATGAGGACCAGTAAGAAGAAATTGAAGAGTGGAAGAAGAGTAAAATGGATGTCACTTTTATTCATTTCCCACCCTTTCCTCTACAGAGAAATAATTTATTCCTACCTTATACAAATTTGAGGCTTCTCTGGAGCCTCTCATATCTTTATTATTGCTATTATTGTTATTACTACCAACAAAAAAGTTCATGCACAGGAAAAATACTCTGACCAGCTGCATTTAGCTTCTCCCTCAAAAACAAAGATGAGTTTTTAGCCATGAGCGTGCTCTTGATGGTGATAACTAAGCAATTAGGCCGAAGTGTTTTGATTCTTATAAGGGTGACCCTGTGCCTATAGGGAAGACTCAAAGCTGACACTAACATGTATGCAATGTAAGAAGCACAGCAGAAACTTTCAAAAAGCTTATGGTCCTTGATCTTGTAGTTTTGCACGGTGGTTGTTAACCAAAATATCCTAAGTTTTTAGGATGAGCAAAGGTTATTTGAATATGCGTACTTTTAATGGAAATTATTTTGAATGGGCAGAGAAATAAGAGAGAGGCCACTCTGTCACTTCTCTGATGGGATCTAAAAATGATCCCGTGTAAGTTACTTGCCTTTCTCAATGAGTAGCAGTGTATACTTTCTTAATTCAAGTACAAATGTGAGTTCCTCTGTATTTTAGCAATGTACCTTCTAGGAGTATATCATTCTGGGGTCCAAGAGGGACGACACCATTTACAAGTGAAGAATCCACCATGTGCTGGGAGAGGCACGATGCCCAGCCTGTGTGGGTTTAGCCGTTGGCGAGCGTGGCACTGTGGAGTAAGGAGCCTTTAACAGAGCACAAGTGAATTGCGACAGACCTGGGGTGGGTGGGGAGGTGGTTTTTTGCTGTTAGCTGTCCCATCTGTGTATGCGACTTCTGCTTCTGTTTGAATTAAAATACGTGTTTCATGTTGGTGTTACTGCGTTCTTCCCCAGGGACATTCCAGCTATATTACACACCTTGACTGGTCCCCGGACAACAAGTATATAATGTCAAACTCAGGAGACTATGAAATACTATACTGTAAGTATGAAATTAAATACACTGGGAACAGAAGTATGTATTAGCTGTCAGAATATTTAGAAGAGTGTGTTTGATCAGGACTGTACAAAATGCTTACTGACAAAGGAACCAGTTTGAACTTGTGTAACCCGATATATTGATGTTATTCAGAGCTGTGTATTACCTAATGGCTATGCCAAATATAGCTTACCTCTTTACAAGGTCATAAATCAGTTTAACAGTGTAGAATTTACAGAACAAGTGGCACTGTGTTTTGGTGTTGGCCCAAAGTTCTGTAGATTAAAAATAATATATACAGTTGTCTAATTAGTGTCAACAGTACCAGTTATTTTGGGGGAATAAAATCAGTGGATCTGTGCCTCCATTCTGGAGTTTCTTTTTTTAAAACTTTGTCTTGGCTGGTGATGTTGAAAAGTAAGCAAAGCAATAATACTACTCTAGTGAGTTAGTGGTAATAATGTTTTTGCTTTTGTCCTTTTTTAATATGTGGAAATATAAATTTAATATATAATGGTTATGTCAAAAGTTCAACTTGCATAGTGGATATCAGTCTGGTTTTAAATTTATTTTTATATTCTTGTCTTCCTGTGGCTTTAACAGGATCCAAGAGGACTGTAATTCTGTTCCTGTACAGGCAAGAAGAGCCAGCAATTTAAATATCTGTCACCTTAACATGTTCTTTTTGCCTGTCAAAACTTAGGTTTCAAATCTGAATAGTGCAATGTCTCAATCCACCAAAAGGGAGTGTTGATGTTTGTAATTACCTGTATAGGGAAGCAAAGATCTGTGACCCATTAGTACTGGGCTGGTATATTGAAAGTTGGACATTCTTTTGAGAAACAATCTTTGCTTTCCTCGTTAGAAGTTGAAAAGCAGTCTAAGGCTCCTCTGGTAGTAGTTCCTCACTATTTTGAAAGCAGAGCTTCCTGAATGATTGATTGAATTTTTGCACATCAATGAAACTGGTAGGAAGGAGAAATTACTCTATTGCAGACTCTATTAAAGCATTTTGTAGAGTAGGTAGCAGGGGACCCAAGCTGCAGGGAGGTGTTTTTGAGTTACAGTGATCTGAAGAGGGAAATGAGAGGTAAATGTGACTCTTAAATACCAAGCAAAGCTTCAAGTATCTGGAATTTGATAATGGTACTGGGCTGTCTTTACAGTGTGATTCCAGATTTGGTTTAAGATGTTTATTTAATGGCTTAGCACCTTTAAAGAGGACAGATGTAAATACAAAATTATATGACATAACTCATCATTTACTTTTTTTTTACAGGGGACATTCCAAGTGGCTGTAAGCTAATCAGGAATCGTTCTGACTGTAAGGATATAGATTGGACAACATACACTTGTGTGCTAGGCTTCCAGGTGTTTGGTAAGCACCATCTAACTTGCTTTTAAGCTATTCACACTGTGCTTTTGTTTTCTTTTGCTTCAATTTGTTATTAGAAATATGCTGTTAATGATTATTGAGGATGGTGCTGAGATGACAGGCCGAAGAGACTGATCGATTAAGCGTTATTATTTAATATTGTTTAAATGTATAAAAAAAATTACAAAGATATTTTAATAGTGCCATTTGAGATTGTGGCCAAACAGTTCAAACTGCTTTTGCTGAAGGCAGCTCTGTTGGCCATGGGCCCCTCTTCAGGGGTTGAAAAGCATGGTTCAGCCTGTCAGCATTGTAAAATCAAGTTGTGTGAGCAGGATGCTGAGTGTCTCGCTTCCACCGCTGAGGTCAGATACCTGCCTGTTCTTTGTGTTGTTGAAAACATCAAAATCAGGTAAATCAGCAAGTTCTTTAGAGGTGAGGGTTAGGTCTACAAATCTTTTCTTCACTGCTACTAGGAGTTCAACTTTGAATATCAGTTTATAGACAGGGTAGAAGAAAATCAGTTAAGTCTGAGTGCTCTCTGTAGCTTCTGACACCTATCCTGCGTATTTTAGGACTGTGATGTGCCTAATGAGCAAGCAGTCTTTAAAGGATTGCATTTGGTTTGTGGGCTAACACTGACGTTCTTGTTACGTGTTGGTTGGGTGGAGGACGTTTTATGCTTTATAACCAGGCTTGATTTGCTTTCTGGGCACCAAAGATCTGAGGCAGAGCAGGGAAAACAAAGGGGTCAGAGAAGGAAGCAAACTGGTTGATAAACTGTGTAAATATTTTTGAGTTGCTTCGAGCTCGAGGGTAGGTAGCAGAAATAAACAGGAGTGTGCTGTTTCTGCATTGCTTTTGAATACTGTTGCTTATTGCTAGTTTGAAAACATTAGCTTCCATTAGCCTAAGCACTGTGAACCGGGTTGTGTACGTGTTTGTTTTTATTCAGTCTGGGTGAAACAGAGTGCGGATGGCTGTTTCCTCCTGATGCTCTGTGCGTGCAAGCCTAGGCTGACAAGGAATCGGTCCACAGCAGTCATTTCCTCGCTGTCTTTGCTAGTGCGACTGAAATAATAGTGCAACATAAATGCCTTTTTTAAAATGGAGGATCAGAAGGTTCGGGAGATGCTGGAGAAAGTGAAAAGCGAAACTCCGATGCTAATGTGACGTCTTTCTCCAGGAGCAATGAAAACACTTTGTAAGAACTGAATGTTCCTTCTGGAATAGCCTCAGAGCTGGAGCCATTTTACATTTTATGCGGAGTACTTAAATCTACCAGAAACATGGAGGTAGCAGATGGTGGCTCTGTTGCTACTGAACTTTTACCACTACGTTTGGTGGTAGAGCAGACAAAATAAGGAGAGCAGCTATCCCAGCACTTTCCCAGAAGCGTCCTTTACTCCTGACCTAAGGAGATGAGGTGTGGGAGTGCAGAAAGAGTTTGGGTTCACATCTAAACCATTGGCTTTGTCTCTTTAACAGCTGTCGGATAGAAGCTGTTAGTGACTGGGGCCAGGCTGGAGATGAGTAGCTGCCGTAACCACTGTTTTGAGAAGCCTTTTTACTTTCTGCTTTTAAAAAGTAAATAAATCTGCTGATCCTGTCTGCATTCCATTTTGGATTACTACAAACTTTAACCACTCTGAATTAAGTTTAATTAGTCTCAACTGCTCTCAGAATCTTCAGTGTGCCAGAGGACCTGGGAGTGAAGTAGATAAAGCAGATAATTTGATGTTATTCTGGGGCAGAACAGAATATATTTAAACTTCCTAGCCAAGATTCATCATTCTTTAATTTTATACTGTCTGGTAGTCTGACACCCATTGCAGAATCTTAAAATTGTGGCTCAGTCTCAGACAAAGGCAAGTATTTTCCCATTAAATCAGACAGTGCAGCTAAGCCAGCCTAGCAGATATTTGCTGCTGAAAGGAGAGATCTGGCTTTGGCCCGAGGGTCAGCTGGCTCAGGGATCCAAACAAGCCAAGGGCTGCTCACTTTGATGTTTAGGAGAGAGGGTTAAGTTTATGGGATTTTGGTTTTTGGGGTATGTGTTTTACTAATTTGGCTCCATGGATAGTGTGTCCTTAGGCTCAGGCATCACACTGTTGTCAGCAGAAGAAAGAGGATGGAAATGAACAGTTTGGATGAGAATAGCATCTCTCCTTTTTGGCAGTTGATACTACTATATTGGCACAGCAGTATCATCAGTCTGCACCCCGAGCACTTGAAGTCACTCCTTCGTTTACTGCACGTTTCCCACACTTTCAGATGAGCAGATTCTTTTGAGAGGCTTTTCTGCTGGCTAGCAAAATTTTTTAAAATTGAAGTCCTGCTGTTGTACCTAATAACAAAGTCCTATGATTTTGTATATTGTGTTATTTTTACAGTGATTAAGAACTTGGTTACATTAATGTCTTGGTTTTTCCGTGTTTGCCTGATACATTGAAAGCGAATCCTGCTGCCTTATGACAAAGGATTGTCTTACCTTTAGAACCACTAAAGAAGTTTGTGAACACAAGAGATGTTTAAAAAGAGATGCAATCTCGAATACTAGTGTTTTTAATCTTAAATTAAAAACAAGAGGAAAGCATAGCTGTTTGACATAGTTTACCGAAGGTGGTAGCTGAAACTTCAGGAAACTGATTTGAAGGGTTTTTTTATTACTTCCACCTGATGACAGTATTTTATATATCGCGTGTAGGAGAAAGTTAAAATTCATTCATTTTGAGCTACTTGAGAATTCTTAAATAGTATCTGTTTTCCAGATTGGTTTCATTGATGTGAGAGCACTATAATGTTTCTGAATGCTTTCCTTAGCATTTCATGTCTTTATTTAGTAAATTACCTACAATGTAGCTTATTGGCATTTGTAACAAGCTGCCTTTGTTATTCTTCAGAGAAAATAAAGTTCTTACTCCACCCACTGAAGAACAGAAAAACATAACTTTAAAGTTAAATGCTATTTGCCATTTTGCTTAAAACCAAGAAGAGATAGTGTGGGAGTTTGAAAAAGACAAGGCAGTTGTAAGTCGACGTTTTGTGCTGTATAAAGTAGTCAGCACATGTTTTTTATTTTACCAAGTCAGTGATTGTAAGGGAAGAAGACGACGTTTTTATATCTGATAATAGACATCCTTCTCAGTCAAGCGGCCGTGCAGTTTTTTGGGGTGGGGGCTGATATTCGAGGGGGGGAAATTCCTCCTAACTCCTGAACTAATCGGAAACCCAAGTATGATCTGTAAAAATGTGATATCTTTGGCATAAATTAGTATCTTATAACCTCTTGTTTACCTTATGTTCAGCTTTTCTTGCAGATGTGAATCATCAGTTTAGTTATGAGAATCTCTAGGATCTTTATTTTTTGTTAAAACTTAGAGCCTCCCCCTTCCCCAATTTGTTCAGTGCTTTTCATCTAGGCGATGTTGTTTTTCTTTTGTCTAGACGTATCTGTGTCATTCTTTTCACTTAAAAGCATATTGAATTGTACTTAAGCACTTGACAGCACTTACATCTATGAAACTCGTACAGGCTGGGTTTCTGTGCAAAGTATCATCAATCAGTTGTCTCCTTTGAATCATGCAAATACTAAAAATTGCTCCAGATTTAAAATAAAACCAAGAGAGATCTCTGCGTAATGTACGATACCTGGGCTTGTTCCAACCTTCAGCATCAGTCTCGCTTTTAAAACATTTGTGCATGAAAGTGTTAAATTAAGAGTTGCCAGTTTTAGCAGCAAACAAGATAAGCTTTAAACAAGACTGTGGTTTTGAACAGGAGATGTATCAAGCCCAAGAGGTTATCCTGGCCGAGGCTGAGGGTTTGGGGGAGCGGCATTAGACTAGCAAAATATTACTGACATTTATGCAGTGCATTTTCCATTTTCCAGTTGAATGTCTCATTTGTTACCTTTTGTTAAGCTTTCCTTTTCTCACAGCTTTATAGATTTTATTTTTGTTTATGGATTATCTTTTCATTTGTTTCTAAAAACAACATCACTAAATACTTGCTCTGCTCTCTCCTAGGAGTTTGGCCCGAAGGATCAGACGGGACAGACATAAATGCCCTTGTCAGATCTCATAACCGAAAAGTGATAGCAGTTGCTGATGATTTTTGTAAGGTCCATCTCTTTCAGTATCCCTGTTCCAAGCCAAAGGTAAGTCTAGACCAGTCTAGTCTATGTGCTCGTTTGTGTTGCCTGAAGCTTTCCTTGCCAGACACCTGCTTCCAGCTCGGTCATTTTGGAACGTGGCAGCCAAATGGCTCATTTGTATCTGAGAACAATGGTAGAGACAAAAGCATGGTTTTCCTCATTAAGTTTATATAAAAAAATAGAAAATATAAAATAACATACCTAAAAGTGAAGTAGCAACCATTGTCCTTAAGTTCTGGAGCAGAGGCTTGATGCTTTCTGTTGGCTGGCCTTGGTGTTAAGTCCCTTACTTTTTGCGTAAGGATCTAAATCTGTCCCGCGTTACGAGCCTTAAGAAGAGAGAGTGTATTGTGGGGAGGAAAAAATAATATAACTTTTTACTCTGGCGTGAATAAAGAGCCCTCTTGAAGGGGCAGACAAAAATGGTAGTAGTTTGGGGTTTCAGTATCACATGCTCTTCTAGTCAAGCCTGTGATTTATCTTTCTGCTTGTTTTCCATAGGCTCCGAGTCACAAATACAGCGCTCACAGTAGTCATGTGACAAACGTCAGCTTCACCCATAGCGATGGTCACTTGATTTCAACTGGAGGGAAAGACATGAGTATTATTCAATGGAAATTAGTGGAGAAGGTAACTCTACCACAAAATGACATTGTCGTGGACATCGGTGCAACCAAAGTGCCCATCCCTGCCAGTGAGAATGCTGTACAGTGTCCTGCACCTCTCCCACAGCCTTTTAACGAAATGAACCAAAACGAAAGTGTAACTGGCAGCTCTCCAGCTTCTTTGGAGAGCAACTTGGAGCAGTCTGCGGAGGCCAGCGAAGAGCAAAGTGAGGAACAAAGTGAGGGGAGCAGCCTGGATCCTGCCGAGCCGGGCTACGAGGAGCCCTCCAACGAGACGAGCGAGGAGCACAGCGAATCCACGGTCACTGAAGAGCAGCAAGATAACTCACCGGTGTCTTAACGCTCCCAACTCAGGCGGTTGTTATTTTCCCTTCGTATGCGTGCTTTCATTACAGGGTGAGGGTTCAAATAGGGAAAAGTAGCTGAGATTCATGACCACTCCAGCTTTTGAGTTTCCGTGAGGTTTTTAGTCTGAGCTTCAGTTCAACGTGTGGAACCATCCCAAGGGCCTGGCTTGGTGGTCTGTGTCAAGATCTGCTCACAGTTAGTAGTGGACATTACCATAGATCCATTTCAGTTCTGAAATTGCCATCAGGAAGTCGCATGAAATATATACTGGAAAAAAGGTTAGCTCTGAGAATCAGCTGAAGTAGACCACCTTAACTAAGTGAAAGTGCTTTCTGGAAAGAACTAAGCTGATGGGAAGTGCTGAGCTGTTCCAGCTGGAGAGTACTGTGCTGCTTTTTCCAGGTGCGAAGACAACAAAAAAATATAAATGAAAAAGCTCTTTGTAGGGCTGTTTTCCTTTGTTTTTTCTTAATGAGAAAAACAGAGGAAAAACAATGTAATGATGCCACATGTATGGCAATGCCTTCTTGATCTAACACATATGCAATTTTCTAACACTACTAATTCCTAATGGAATCTGGATGTGTTTGCAGTTGGTCTGCCCTGGGTGCTGCTAGTTCTAAGACGAATCCTGTCGAGGAACGGTGACGGCTGTTCCATTTTCACAGACTGCGTGGTAACAGACTAACCAAATACTGGCGTGTTTCACTTTTCATGACCCGAAAGTTGATTTTAAACTGTGGGATGTAATTGTCTCTTCAAAGAATTGCTTGCCTAAAGGGTTTGAAACTTAAAGAGAGTCTTTACAGTGACTTTGATGTGAACAGCAGAGGAAGCGTGGCAGGAACACAGAAGTCAGATGGGCTCCAGAGTTAAACTTTAAGCCTTCAAGCAGAACTTGCTCCATCCCTAGTAGGAGAACTATAAATACAGTTAACTTAAATTATTAAATTGGTGCTTAGGATTAGTAATTAAGTTGATCATTTTTTTCTTCTGAATTTTTAGAGGTTACTCTAAGAATCATTAAACTGCAATCTCTCTTCCCATCCCACCCCTCCCCATCTCCTTTAGCAGTTGTGATATAAGCATACAGTAATTTAGATGATGATGTGATTTTATTTTATTTTTTTCCTAGACTTGCTGATCTATTATTTTTTTGACTTTTTTGTTTCCACCCCACCCCTCCCTGGGTTGCTCTAAGCCATGCAGCTCTCATGTGGCTATACCTGGCCAGTTACGGGATATCTTGGCATTTGTTATGCATTTGGAAAGTACTTTTTTTTTTTTTACGAAGTTTGTCAGATAGCTACATTTTTTTTCTTAAGTGCATACGATTCCTACTTTAAAAAGATATAGATTTACTGACAGATATCCATTTCCTATGTACTTGTTTATATTTTGATTACATAGAATTTTCTTTTTTAACTTGCTGCATTGTGCTGGTATTTTAGTTTTTAGTTAGAATATCATGTTTAGAAACTTTGGATGAGTTCATAAGTCTTAATCGTGCAAGCGTTTACGTGATTGTGCCATTCCAAAGTGCATCAAAACTGTCATTCCCTTACTAGTATCTTCTCAGGAGAAATGCTACAGATCAGGTATTTAGTCATCATTTGGAAAGATAAAAACAAATGGACTCCCAAAGGACATTTAGAACATTTATATATGAAATATATAAATATATATATACACACACATATATATATAAAAAAAATATTCTCTTGTTTACAACAGTTCCAGAAAACCTCAAAGTAGTTCCCTTCAGATGGAGGGAGATACGGATTCCAAGCAACCCATCTGTTTAAACTGTGCTCTGTACATAGAGTTTTACTGGAGAGCTCTAGTATGCCTGACTTGCAAATTTGCCAAATAGCAGCAATGGAAGATAAAGGTCAACTCATCAAAGTACTCAGTTCCAAATGCAGAATATGCTGTAGGTTTAGAAAATAGTCTTAGTAAAGGAGAAAGGATTTTCGAGCTAACGAGGCACGGAGCTCTCTCTGTCATTTTTATGAACTCCGCGTAAGCAACACATTTCTTTTTGGAACATCTGTCACCTGGGGTTGCCATGTAAAGTGAGAGTTATAGTTGTGATATTCTTGTGTTTGTAGTTCAGAAGACTCTACTAATATGCAAAAAGCCTTACAGCTTTCAATTGCTGGCAACTACTGTTTAACAAATAATTAAATCTGTGATAATGGATGGAAATGGGTGGGATTATGTAACTGTAGATGTTTTAGAAAAATAATTGTGAATGAATTATGATTAAGAGTGTTTCATGTGAAGATGTTTGAGCCATTTCTATCTATCATGCATTCCTGTCTCAAGGCAGAAAATTTTGAAGATTAAAAAAAATAAAATAATCAAAATAATATGTTGCATTGTCTTTCTCCGTATCTGTTCTGGTTTCTTCTGTATGTGAAGTGCATACTGTGATCACATTTGCAATGTCTGGTTCTGTGAGCCTAAAAATAAGTTCATTCAGCATCATGAATAATGCTGGCACTCCTAAATACTGGTCTTGTATTCTTTTCAGAAGTTTTCTGACATTTCTCTTTTCTATTTTTGATTAAGAGCCTACTAGTATTATCCTACTGTAGCTAATTGATGGGCAGCAAGGGATTACACATAGGTATTTGGATGTATATTACAGTCTACCTTCCAGGGTTCTGCCAGAAGCTTTCTTCTGGAAGTCATGCGAAAAGTACAAGCTCGTTTTGGATGTAACATGTTGAATATCATGATGCTTCCACATTCCTAGTAGTCTCTGTCCAGTTGCAGATGCAGAAGGTCAGGGTATGCTTCAGTTTCTTAATATATTCCGTGTGAAAGATTCTCAGCCTTTTTTAAGGCTTTGAATCATCTCCATTGCTTGCAGCTGGTTTCTGTCCTTCACAAAAGGAGAGGGTGGGGTGGGGAGAAAGAAACTTCCAAGATAGACAAAAACCTCATGTTTATCCTCGCTTAAAGAAAAAACCAAACAAAAAAACATCACCGCCACCCCCTGAGTTTGACTGGAAACCTCTACAACTCTTTTCCACCAAATTGTCAGGAGATTGCTGCTGTTCTAACTAGAGCAACAAGCAGATGTCCTAAGGTCATGCCGTGCTGTTTCCAGCACGCTCGCAACATCGTGTACCACTTTGTGTCGGGGCAGCTGTGCCGTGGTGTGCTTTTCTGGGCTCTGCTCCCTTTCTCTCCAAACTCAGCATGAGGCTTTTACTACCTCTTCTCCTGGGATGCTCTGTAAGGCAGGAGTCCTCCTGATGAGCAGGTAAGCTGGTCTTCTCTGAGCTTCCCTCAGTGTGGAGGCAGGACAGGGCTCCATGTGCCCCCTCTTATTTGGGACGGCAACATCTGCTGCCAGCCGAGGTAGCTGCAGTGATGGTATTTACGTGGAGTTGAAGTTCAGGGCGGAAGCTGCACCGAGGCATAAAACTGTAACGACATCCCATTTTATGTGACTGAAACTTCAGATTTGAATTCTGCGTTTAAATGTTTGTTTAGGTTGCATAGTAAAATGTTTGGGTGATGGGAAATGCCAAGCTTACAGATTCTTGCAGTATGCATCCATATTGGGCACGTTATACGAAGTGACATTCATTGGGTTTTACACATAAAGGGCACTTTTCAGGATACGACCACGTCTTTGGTTTGGTTTTATTTCCCCATAGAAGTTCCAGGATAGATGAGGAAGAGGCTGGGGTCGTGGATGTGTAGTGATGAACCAAGCATTTCTTAGGTTTGTTCTTAACTGTAATTCTCATTATAAATAACAAGTACTAGCTTTTGCATATGATGCATGTCAAGTTCCAGCCTCTTCCTTATTTAGTCATCCCTGGAATGCATAGATTCTGGCTTTGTCTCTGAAAATAAGGCAAAAAATAAATTTTGATTGTTATATCAATTACACTGAAGAATGTGTTGTATTTGCTACTTGGTGCTTCACCCCATTAAGATGTGTTACACCCCCCTGTATTACCTTTGGTTCAGAGCAGTATTTCAGTAGAATCAGGACAAAAATAAGTAGAGCGTCCTTGTGAAATTTAAGCTTGGCCAAGCCAAACAAACAAATTTTCCTTTCCGCTGCCTCATGCCAATAAAATGTTGGTTCCTGGCAATGAAAGGATTAATATTACATGAGGTGGATTTTACTTGCGTGATATTTGTGCTGCTTGTTTGCTTTCCTTCTGAACAAGTCCGAGCCCATTGCCTAATCTTTATTTCTGACAGATGTTTCATGTACTAATACTTTAATCAACTGAGAATGAAAAACTGCTTACAGTAGGATTAGACAATTTAGAAGGCTGGGCAGTGTACACATTTTAACGCACTTAATGTACGTGGTGGCGTCTTTGTGTGCATACATGTATATAAGCATCAAACAGATATGGCTGCTCAAGGCCATTTTTTTCGTTTGAAAGAGAAACATGGATGACTTAACGCCGCAGTGGATTAAGAAGATTTAGGAGCACAGAGGGGAAAAAAAAGTGTTCCCAGCAGGGCGGGAAGGCAAGAGGACTGGTTTCAGGCAAGAGGACTGGAAGATGGTCCCTGGTACTCTCCTGTGCAGGTCCTGCTGCCCCTCTCCATTGAGTTGGGCTAAGCTGAAGCTCCTGACACATCCTCTAAAGTGCCCTAAGCGATATTTCACAAGTGCAGAACTTCTTCAGGTAAATGAAAAGCCCCTTCAGAAATCTGCTAACCTCATTACCTTAAACTTTCTTAGTTACCTTGAACTGAGTGTAGACCTCAGATTGGTGTTTTTAAAGAGAGAAAACTTGAAATTGAGAATCTCGATGGCCTCCTAGCATGGCTGAACATGTTACAGGAGCGCTGGGGGGGAAGGAGGGATGAAATGCCCTGCTGAGGAGAGATTCTGGTGGATGGACTCTGGTTGCCATTGAAAAAGGAAGGAAAAAATGAAACCAAAACAAAAACCTCCTGATACTGTACTCAAGGCACTGTGTCAAAATGACTACATTAATTTTGAGAGAAGAAAGACGTCAATGGATAATTAAAAAAAAAATAAAAATAAACTCTTTTCCTTGCCCCACACCCAAAATTGCCCTCTGTTAAGTTTTGTCTGTACGCTAAAGCCTACAAAAGCTTTCACTTCTGCTAGATGTACTGGGTAGTTAAGAGGTGGTTTTGAGAAAGAGCAAGTCTAGAAAACAATTTTCTTCCAAAAAGCTCTTCATCCCATGTACATCATTGCCCTCCCAGCCTAAAACCAAGGGGTGACATTTGCTTTTAATTCTGCTTCAGAATTTATTTTAGCTTCCTTTATCTATTCCAGTTAGTGTCTCTCTGTGTACATGTGTGTCCCCTTTTATGCCTCTCACAGCTCTATCAAATAAGAGATAAGTCCTTGCACTGGCAATAATTTTTCCTTTTGGTCTCTCTTAAGTCTGTCCACAATTTCCTCTGCATCTGTAACTGCATACAGGAAAATCATACAGGAGGAAAGTCATAAGCTGTCTGCATCAGACAAGGGATACAGCTTCAAACATTGTCTAGTACCTAAGTACAAAAATCTCTAGTATTTTGTATTGGATAGGTGAATCTTTGGTGTTGTGTGGACACTGACAGTAGAATTTGTGACTTAACTGTATTCTAGGTAAAAGGAACTTGGAACAAACTTCACGTTATTGCTACATCAGAGAGGTCTCACCCCATAGCTCAGGAAAACAAAACAAACAAACAAAAAAACCCAAAACAGAACCAAAAGAAAAGACTAGCTAAAGCCTTTGACTTTAGCAAGGCAGACAAAAAAAAGTTTTCAATTTGACAGTGCAAGAAGAAGGAGGAAACAGGTATGTAGTGTTTTCTGTGCAGAGATGGTAACTGTATGCCAAACTTGCTCTTACCACATTTCTTCTGGTCCAGGGGTGGGTACGAGCTGCACCCGTGCCGGGCATGTGCACTCCCTTCTCTAGCGACTCTGCAGATTCTACCATCGGCAGAATTTGAGTGGGAAACTTTGTTTTCAGCATTGCATTGATTGGAATTTTTCCTTAAAGAATTGGACAAAAC